TAGGAACTGCGGGATTTACTAGGAGGTCCTGGGAGGTAAAGCCAATTGGGGAAGCCAATTCTGGGAAGGAAAAAAGCATGTGTTGGGGGAGTACCAGCTAGTGTCCTCGGGTTGCTGTTGTTTGTAACTGCAGTTTACATAGTAGTGCTTCCATCCACCCACCTAAAGATGTGAAATTTTGTTACCCTCAAATTCAGATTTCTAGAACCCCTCTCCCCAGTCCAGTCAACTCAGACAGTTTTTTTTCCTGTTGACCTTTTATTCTTGCTAAGTGATGACCTTGGATTTACAACCCAAGGGCTCTTTAAATCAAAGCTACGTCAGAATGTGTAAAGGGGGATCAGTCATTTTTAAATCTGTGTGTGCTTTCGCCACTCTGTATGGGTGTGTCCATAAAATGGGCAACGTGGTGCCTTTGCTCCAGTGATTACTCTCCCTGGATGACTTAATTCATTGCAATCCATTTTCTCTTCACCTCAGGGAGTGTACCTTTGCATAGCCTGAATATGATAAAGCAACTCCTGGCTGGTATCAGATCTCCAGGACTTCTGTGCCTCCCCCTGGCAGCTGGACCTTTGACTCTGAACCACTCAAATGATGTGGGCTTGCTTCGCATCCCCCTCAGACACCCTGAAGTGAAAGAATAAAATGCTACACCAGAAAGCAAATAGCTTTCCCAAATCATAGAGGAATGGCAGCTACCAGAGCCTCTAGTCTGCCATGAACAGGCAATTTCCCAGAGAGAAAATGAGGGTTGACATACAAACACCATTGCTTAGGAGCCAAGCTGATTCTGTATTTTAGTTTTGGAGTTCTTTGCCTTTCTAGATGTGTGGTACTTATGCAGTCAGTTTTCTATGTGACGCCCTTGTGCTGCTCTTCTGGGGTGGGATCTTCCTTGATGGCTTTCTAGAAGAGTCACAGCTTTCCTTTTGTTTTTCATCACTGCAATAACAAAAGGAATATGGATGTGTATCTTGTCTTTAGGGTTTTCCAGAAGTGTCTCCGTGATTCTGAAGATGCCCCCTCCAAACTGTACATGGAGTCTGTCCTAGTAAGTCAAGGAGATACCAGTTGTGTGGTTAGGTCTCACGACTTGCTTATTAGGAGCTTCTCAGGACCACATAGTCTAGCCTACTAGGAATGTCACTGGTAATTTCCATCCATGCCCAGACATTTAGGTTCAGTCATCCTGTCCCATGTGTTTTCTGTTATATTGTCCCCAAGCTAACTTCACAAAGCCTACTTCTTATGTCATGTGGCTTCCACCGAAAAAGTCTTAAGATTTCAGAGGAGGAAGGCATGTTTCTTACCAGAGTACAGTAAAAGGGCCCATGTGGGGAGCAGAATGAAGCCTGCTTCTTTTGTGTGGGGAGGATAGTTTTTGAGGAGTCACATGAGATTGTTAGGCCAGGACTGCAGAAGTGAACTTGTGTGTACTCTTGTTTTCTGTACATACTGAGGGTTATTACATGAATGTGCAGCTCACCTTCACACAGGCAGCCCAAGCACTTAAAGCCCTTTTGTGTCTCTAACCACAGGAAAAAAAGATCATAGTCACTTTAGTTTAGTTCCCATGTGGTACTTTTCAGGAGTTAATATTTTAATATTTTGCTGTTGCATTTCCAGGAAGGGATTTCCCATTTATAGAATGGGGTGGTTCATGAAGTCTCATAAAGTTGGGTGTACAGCTCACTGTAATAGTCTGGTTGGCACCAAGGGGGGGGTGACGTTAACTGTCTGCATCAGTGACAGATGTCCTGAAATACTGAAAGAGCAATTGCAGTCACATCCTGTGTCAGTTTCTGTCACTGTGACAGAACACTTGAAATAAGCAAGTTATATGTTATACAGGTTTATCTTGGGTCACAGTTTTTTAAGGGTTTTAGTACCTGGCTCACTGGCACCATTGCTTTGGGGTCTATGACAAAGCAGTAAACCATGGTGAAACATGTGATGTAGATGGCTGTTCCATTCATGGTGATTGGGAAGGAGAGAGAGGGAGAGGAGAGAAAATAGAGTACCCATCTCTCTCCAAGGACAAGCTCCCAATGACCTGACTTTCTCCCACTAAAGATTTTACCTGCTCCCACTAGCACCACATGCTAGCAGCTAAGCCTTTAACACATGGGCCTTTGGGGGATGTTACCCAAATATATCTGTGGCAAAGGGTGTGGTTCTTCCCTCCCTCTCTAGGGGCTGGGGTAGAGGGAAGCTCTAGCATTTCTTGAGTATATGATATAACAGGGTCTTTGCTAGAGGTATCACAGACATTTTCTCATTTAAAGCAATCTCAAGGCAAGAACTGTTACCACTGCTTCATGGAAGAGGAAATCAAGGCTTGGATTATTGGCAAGGTCACAAAAATGAGCTCAGAGTTGCGTGTTAGCTCACTGCATCCCAAGGTCACTTGGTGGGCAGCTAGAGAATTCAGACTATCAGTACTGTCACATGGAATCTTCTAGCATCCTGCCAAGGCTCCATAGGACCATTGCTTCTCTGCTGCATCGGGGGGAAGTTTCTGAAGGAGCACAGCCAATACTCCTAGCCCACAGCCTGATGATAAGCCAAACACATTTCCCAGAACTACTGTAAGAATGAAGTGTTATTTTAAATTAATATATACCTATTTTTGGTACTGGGGATTGAACTCGGGACCTTGTGCTTGCAAAGCAGGCAGCAGAACCACTGAGCTAAATCCCTGGCCCAGAATGAAGTATGTTTTAAATGAGTCTACCCAGTGGGCTCACAAAAGTTTGTTGAGAAATTAAATCCATTTGCCAGAGCTGACAACCACATCCTCTGTATACTTTGTGCGAGATAAATCACAGAGGTCCTCTGCTCAGTTATGCCCTTTCCCAAACTGATCTTTTTGGGGCATTGTATTGTTGGGATCCCCTACCTCCCACCATGTTATAACCAGAAGAAACTATCCTATATTCCTGTGGTCACACAGTAGTAAGCATTTTTATGTTGTTCTCTCCCGAGGGGCTGTTTCTTTTATGTCAGTCACACAGGTGAGTCCACCATGTCCTATAGAAAGTAGTCATGGCTCAATTATTCCAAGCAGGACAGAGCCACTCTTTTAGAGTACTCTGAATCTAGCCATGCATAGTTTATAGTCATGTTTCACACAGACTGGTCTTTCAACTAAAGTTATCATTCTGTGCAGACAAGCCTCCTGTATCCTGTGACAGTAATTTGGTAAAACTCTTTCATGTCAGTCACATTATATGATCACAACTGTTTATAATGGCACTGTATTTTGGCCTTGAAATGCTCACTGGTTATTATCAAGAATTACTTTTCTCCAGCCCTGATTTTTCATTCTTGGGGTGACACAAAGTTTTGAAAATAATAATCTGTGCAGTCTGATTCAAGTGATCCACATCTCAGCCTTCAAATATCCACCTACATAAATAAAAGTACAGAGAAGAGGCAGAAAAAGGCGGGGAAGAAAGAATCAGGGACATGTTTATTGACACTGAAATGGAACATAGTTCTCTTTTATGACTTAACAGCACAGTTTGTTAAAAGGCTGGTTACAAACTCCAAAAGGATGACCTGCAGTTCAGGAAGAGATATGCCAACTCCTATGTGGCTTGGAGCTACATGATAAGAGGATAGAACCATTTAGCCCAAAATAAATTATTGATTCAATTTCAATTATATTTATTTCCTATAAACAACACTAATATTTGCATTTTAAGTTCACCACGGAATCACTGGTCACTATGAAGTTTACATGTCAATTCAGTATCTTTCCTCAGATTTCAGGTCCAGCTGGTCAATACTGAGCATTTATTTTTCTGTTTTCTTTGGCACAATTTCTGGTTTCTTTTAAATATAAAAGTACACGTCTAAGCTGGCTGCACAGTACCACAGAAACATGACTGTTTTGGATCTAAGTGTGAGTACAAGTTCATGTTAAGCCTTATTTACAAGGTGAGAGTTGAAGCACAAACTTAGTAAGCTATCTTCATTAAATCAGAGGAGGACTAGCAAGAGGTTTTAAGTGAGCAGGGAGGGCTGAGACTGTGAGTTAGAACAGTGCTTGCTGGAGGAGTCAGGTCAAGCGTCGTGGCACGGAAGAATCTCCCCTGCAGCACTGATGCCAGTGTCGCATGTCATGGGATTCACGCTACGCAAACCCAGGGTAGGAACAGCTTTTGTGCGTGGCGGCTTATTCAACCAACGGAATCTACTTTAAAGCACAACTTAGCTGGTAGCTTGCCAGTGTTATTTGGGCCCTGATAGGTACAAAAGTGTAAAGGCAGCAAAATACTGGCCTTGTTAAGTGGGTATGAGTGAACTTGGAAGAATGAAGCCGCCGTTCAGTTGGTCACAAGCACAGCCACCCTTTTTGAAGTGACACCTTTGTATTCCACCTTAGGTAGAATTGGCATGGATTCCTTCCAGGCAGCTTGAATCTGGAAGTTAGAAAAGAATGGCCGTACCATCCTGGAGTATCACCAAGATACGTCTCACTTTAGGGCAGATACACAGACGTGAAACAATCCGACAACTTGATTTCTCATTCCAGCGCTCCTGAGAAAGGAGTTCCAATAAGCCCTGCAGCAGACTTGGGTTGGAATTGTAGTTATTCAAGTACAAGGAGAGCTCCTTTTTTCACATTGACAGTTCAATTCTGATCTCTGTCTTGCAAATTATATGAAAAAAATAAATACACACACATACATATAGTTCTACACTGAACACTGGTGAACAGTTATCAGTGTCCCAATACAGTACATTGAAAAAAGAATCCTCCTGTATCCCTGAACCCTATTTTTTTTTTGAGACAGGGTCTCACTGTGTAGTTGAGACTGACCTGGAACTTGCTATGTAGCCCAGGCTGGTCTCAAACTCAAAGTGATCCTCCTGCCTCAGCCTCCAGAGTTGCTGGGATTACAGGCATGCGCCACCACGCCTGGCCTGAACCCTATGTTTATCTTAAAACTGTTATTGCAGAACTGTGCTGGTCTGTTTTGTTTTTGGGTGTTTTTTTTTTTTAGCACTTTTTTTTTAAATCGGCTGGAGATGAGTTCAAAATGGACAATTTGGCACATTAACTAGATGGGGTTGTTTAGATGCATTATAATCTATAAAGTGAGAGGTCAAAGGAAAGCCACACCGATAAAAGCCTGAGTAAAAATTTGTAGCCAATGAGAGAATTTCTTTTTTAAAATCCAAGATACTGGTCTACAATAGAGAAAACAATTTACCCTCCACTATTACCTACTTCCAACATTTTATGCACTTCCAAGCTTTTGAAAGAATTTTTAAAAGCCAGAAGATACAACTTCTTTTTGAGATTTTTTTCTTTTTACCCCATCCCAATCCTAAAATTTAGACAGCAAAGGCTTATCAAACCAAATATATAGAAAATAATCTAGAGTTCTGTATATCAAACTAAATGTACAGCTGATTATTATTTTGTTTTTCTTCTAAGTGTTTGGATTCATTAAGAGATTGTCCTCTGTCACTCCAGTCATCTGAAGTCAGGGCTCTAGAACTGCGAGGTCTGGGTGAATGAGATGGTGTCAGACTTGTCTACTGCAAAGCCTCCATTGACATAGGACTTCTTGGTGTCTGAGTCTTCATTATCAAGTACTGTAGATTCCAAGGCAAAAGGATTCACAATGTTAACTTCAGATGAAACGTCCATCTGCTCTAGCTCCTTCTTAGACAGCTTTTCCACGATGCCAGTCCCAAAAGCATCGCCAAGGACGTTGACCATGGTCCTGAACCGGTCCCTAGGGAGAAAACAGGCACGTCAGGGAGCTCAGATTTCATTTTCCTTCAGGAGCTGGAGGTAGGAAAGGACTTGACACATTCAGCTCAGATTTCCGCCAGTGTAGAAAATGCTGCTTCTGGCTGGCTGAACAGAGGCACCTCACAGGCCTGAGGCAAACGGTCATTCATAAAGGTACAAAATGAACAAAGAGGGTCCCTAAATCCCCTGTGATCTTTTTCTCCTCCCCAAGAAACATGAACAGAATCTCCACAGACATGTTTAGGGGACAAAGGAGGCTGAGGACTTCCAACCCTAACACCTATATTGTGAGTTCATCACTCCGCTGACCTTGTGGGCTCTCTCTCGACTAAGGAGAGAACCTGGATGTTGTGTGGGTGGTATGTGCTGTGTGTGTGTGTGTGTCTGGTTTGTTTATGAAATGAGGTCACAGTGAGCAAGCCAGCAGACACATGGCAGAGCACGAGTCAGCTCATGGCAGACCATAGGCAGAAAACACAGGTCAGTCCAGGAATGGACTTCTTGAAATGCCCTCATCCAGTCTGAACTCCCAGAAAGCCTGCAGAAGAGGCTGGTGGCAGGTAGAGAAGGACTGCTGCAGAGAGGAGCATCTATTGGGACAGTGGCGTTTGTTGCCAAGAACTGTGTCCATGCACGTTCTCGTGAAAACTGTACCTACAGGACAGAAAAGGCCAACTACGCCCACCTTTGTCCACTCTGGATGCATTTCTGTTATTTAGACCAAGGCTACATGCTGAACTAGCTCTAGTGTCTTTTCATCTCATGACTTCAGATTGGAGTTTGACTTATCTGGCTGTCTTGACAGTGATGGTCACTGGTTCCAGGAAGGATGAGGGAAGGGACAGAAGGACAAAGGCACCATCACCACTGGGAAGAAAAACTAAAGCTTGTCTCAGTGTTAGGGTATTTTTTAAAGGACAGGGCCATTTCATTTGGGTCTTAGATTCCTGTCTAGCTGCCGAGGGGCCTTCTCAGCCAGGCTCAGAGCTTGCGCCTACACAGTCCATCGCTGCTGCTTTTTTCCTCCATCTTAGCTGCCATCTGCAGATAGTCCTGGACTCCCCAGTCAGCCTAAGCCAGATCCAAGGGAAGTTCTCTTGGAGTTACATGTGCCCCATTGGCCAGGATGAGGGACAGACCCAGGTGCTGGAGGACCAACGCCCAGAGGTGGCATCAAAGAAAAGCCAGGAACCAGGCTAGTTCCAACTTTAACACAAGATATATTCTGACCCAGATGTTCTGCTTATTTTTTATCTGTATGTGGAAAGGGGTGGGGTGCACATGTATATGTATACGACATATAGAAAAGTGAGAAGAAATGGTTCAATTCATTCTAATCAACAGAAAAACCTCATAATAACAAGCTTCACTGCCTGCCATACATGGTTCTAGACACTGACTAACCTGAGCTCACTAAGTCACTAAAGAAGCCGAGGAGGCCGGCAGAATTTCCCTCATTTCACAGATAATGCTTCTAGACCTCAGAGAAGCAATAAACTTGAAGGACAAAAAGCTACTGAAGACACTGGATGGGAAATTCATGCCCAAATCGGTCTTACTCCAAAGCCTCTGTTGACTCCAAAGATGCTTGGGAAGACGCACTGGTTTTGAATTTAGTGGCTTTTAGTCTGTGATGCTAAACCAGGGCTGGGTTAAACTGGGGTGGCTACAGGGCCTTGCCCTGCTCCTTAACTCTGTTATCCATATGTTTATCTTATCCCACACCCAGGTCCTAACCTTGAATATTACCAGGTGTAATGGGAGATTGGAGCACAATGGTTTTTTAAAACAACTGCTCCAAGTTATGAGGAGTTAAATTTTAAACATATTATAAGAGGACCTGGTCAGAGGGAAATTAAAGAAGCACCAGATGGCTCATTAGGCAGCTGGAGAAGAGAATGATGGCAGACTGCAGACTCTGCATGGCTAGGAAGCGGAGGCGGGTCATTCATTCCAACTCACAGGAGCCAGTCAACAGCGATGATCAGGGTGACATCCTCAGCAGGCAGGCCCACAGCACTCAGCACAATCACCATGGTCACCAGGCCAGCCTGGGGCACTCCAGCCGCTCCAATGCTGGCAGCTGTGGCTGTGATGCTGTAGCCAAAAACACCATCAGGAAAGAAGTTAGACCCCTATGTCTCTCTTTGAGGACCCTGGCCTGAAAGTTAATCTCTACAGATGACTGCTGTCTCTCCAGTTTGGCCAGTCAAAATCTGTTTGCTGTTGAGTACTAGCTCTGCCTAATTAGAAGGTTGAGAGCAGGGGAGGGGCTGAGAGGAGATGGTGCCATGCGCTGGCAGGGGGAGATGTGGCAGATCACTCTGACACAGGAAACAAAGAGCTGCAAGGGGTGGTGCCAATAGGCCAGAGAGTTACTCAAGGGCTTGCCTACATGTCCATGCATCCATCCTAGTTAAAAGTTTTTAAAAATTAAATTTATTGGTACATTTTAGGTATACATGATGATCACATTCATCATAGGGAATTTCTATCTGTACATGATACATCTTGATTCTTTTTTTCCCCATCCCCTACCCTCCCTTCAACTCTCCTTCCCCTCCTTATTTACAAAAGCTTTGGCATCCATTCTAAATTAAAGCCAGGTACTTCTCTGTAAGTTTTCTTCCTCCCTTCCACCTGCTCACCTGTCCAGCTGAGCATCTAATGTATTCCAGGAATTTATGTTGCCTTGAAGGATGAGTAGAGGGGCAGTGGTAGGGCATATGGACGGGGGTATTTC